CCGTGTCTTCCAGTTCTGTAGGCGCTGATCTTTCTTCCCTGGTCTTCTGAGAGCTGCTAACCGGGACGTCGGGCTTCTTCAGCCTGAGGCTTTTGATGGGTTCCTGCAAAAGGTTCGGACTCACTCAGCGGCACCGTCGCTAAGCGGGTGAAAAAGTATTTAGGGGCCTGGAAGAAGAGGATGCGCTCTTCCTGGGCAGCCTCAGGAAGAAGAGCAACTAAGGGGGACAGTAACACACGGAGGAGGCTTGCAGGAACTGGGTTTGGCCAGCCGAAAGGAAAGAAGGACCAGCGGGGGGGACACGATAGGGGTGTTCCAGTATTTGAGGGGGGTCAACTTATTCTCCAAAGCACCAGAAGGAGGCAGAAGAAGCAACGGATGGAAACTAACCAAGGAGAGAAGCAACTTGGAGTGTATGGTGCATTATTTTTAAATTGTTTCTATTTAATTTAACTCCTTATTTTAACTTGTTTTTCTAACCCAGAGTCCTACGGGATTGGGCGGCATATAAATTTATTAAAAGTTAAAAGTTAACTAAGGAGAAACTTCACGACTGTGAGGACAATTAACCAGTGGAACCGCCTGCCACCAGAAATCCTGGCTGCTCCATCCTTGGAGGTTTTTAAAGAAGAAACTTGTCTGAAGTGGCCCAGGGTCTCCTGTGCTGGAGCAGGGGGGCTGGGCTAGATGACCTCCAGGGTCCCTCCCAGCTGATGGAAACCGGCCCAGGAGGGCCTCACCTTGTAGGCCTTGGTGACCACCCTCCTCTTCCGCTTGGGCACCGAGTCGTCCTGGTCGCTGCTGGGGTCGTCCCCTTCGTCAATGTCGAAGTCGGAGTCCACTTCGTCCTCGCTGTCCGACTGGTCTCCCTTGTACTCATCGTCCCCCGATTCCTGCCAGGAGGTTTCGGGCTCATCCTTCCATTGCAGCCTTTGGACTACAATGCCCATCCCCTGCCCGTCGGCCAGGGATGATGGGATATGGCATCTCCCCGAGATATGAAAGGCTACAGAGCTCTGGCAGGAAGCTTATTTCAAACTCCAGAGCCCATCCTTCCNGGAATATCCAGCCGGGGGTTGGGATTACAACTTCCCTGGTCCTTGATCCAGCTTCCTTCCAAGAAAATCCCTTTTTCAGTGAAGATTTGAGGGAGACGGAATTCCCCAGCAGAGTGAAGGAGTTGCTCCCTACCTCAGTCCCAGAGAAGGGACACGAAAAGGACAGAAAATAAATAATAACCGAGAAACTACAACCGAACGGGATTTTTTAGGGGGAAAAATCAGAAGTATGTAGAATTGTGCTATCGTGGCTCATGTCCAGTTTGTTAGCAACAGATCAAAAACTCTGGCCATTTCCACCAGCTGGATAACAAAAGGAACAACTTGGAAACAAAAGGAAATATTTCGAGCCTGGCTTCTACCACAGATTGAGATTGGGGTGGGGTTCAGCTGCGTTCCCCCCCCTCCTGAACTAGTTGGAAATTGCCTAAAACCGCCCCCCAAACGAGTCGAGAAACGGGTTATTGCCGCTCTTCCACAATTTCGGTTTCTCGTGAGTGCCAAAAACCACCCGTGGGGGAAACGGAGAAGCTTCAGGGAGCCGGCACGCTCTGCTTGATGATGATCTTCTGCCGGGTGGGCCGGATACCCGGGTCGGCCATGGGGGAGCCAGCCGCCAGGGCAGCTGCGGTGCCGGCGCTGGGCAGTCCGTGGGCGGTGATGTACTTCTTGTAAGCCTCGCGGATGATCTTGAAAGAGCGGATGTTGGAGTAAGGGATGTCGGTGACTGGGTCCCGGTAGACGGCCGTCTTGTGGGTGACGGGGCAGACCTCCTTGACGGGCAGCCTGGGGGGCGGGGCCCTGGGGAAGACGCGCTCGAAGGTCTCGTCGTCGCTGAAGGTGATGAAGGTGCGGGAACATTTGGCGGCGGGCGCAGCGGGGGTCTCCAGAAGACCCTCCTGCTCTAACCTAAGGAGGAAGCGGAGGTCGGGTCTCAGAATCCGGACCCACTGGCGTCTCGGAAGTGGGACCCACTGTGGCAGCCAGTCCCGAATGCCGTCGTGGTAGAGATAATCCTCCACTTACGATGACAATTGAACCCCGGATTTCTGTTGATAAGTGAGTTTCTCCTGGGGAAAGCTGCTGCTGCAGGCATGAGAAAAGGGGGGGGGGCACTTACCCTTCTACGTCCACGTTCTCCTCCTTGTATCCCAGGTCGGAGACGAGGGGCATCGTCCCCGAATAGTAGCGGATGGTGGGCCCCGTGCACTTCCGTTTTTTCTGCACCTGCCTTTTCTTATCCGCTTCTAAGCGTTCGTAGGTCTCTGCAAGGAAGCGCCAAGGGCTCAGCGGAATGGGAGGGGCTCCCACCTTCTCTTGGGGAGAGCCTTCTCTGTTGCTGCCCCCGGCCCTTTGGAACGATCTACCCCTCCCCCCCCTGAGATCCGGACCCTCCCCACTCTCCTGGCCTTCCGTAAGTTCTGTTAAAACCTGGCTGTTCC